GGAACCGGGTTCACCATAAACCGGGTATAGAGGTACAGAACGGGATAGGAAAATAATATTTTTATTATTGGGGCATGGGGCCCAACAAATATATACAAGCCCAAGGTACCGCCGTACCGGCCACAGAATGGCGGCAAATTATTGTATGGACCATGGTCCACACAATGTTATGTGGACCATAATAAAATGTACATTTTTAATATACTAAATATACATTATTTTTGTACTGAATGTACATTATACACTCAGAACAAAAATAATTTACATCCCCTTAATATAATGTACATTATTTTTGTACTGAATGTACATTATTTTACAGTAAATAAAATATGGTCCACACAACTTGTGTGGACCATGGTCCATACAATAATGATTGTAGAATGACGGCCTAGAAGTAGCAAAATAATATAAATAATAAGCTGAATGACTAATAAATAAATAAACAAATAATTGAGGAACTAGTGAATAAATAGAATAAAATATAATAACTATGTTACCACCAAGATTTAAACCCAAGCACACCAGTAGGGAAGAATGAGATTAGACCACTAGACCAGGAGTTCAGATCATGTTTAAGGGATGCCTTAGATCGACTAGACTCCCCACCCCCCCCCCCCCCCCCCATTTTTTATACTGTTAGGAGAGCCACATGTACCCTCCACGTGTATGACATCCAAGGGGTGTCATCTTCAGCTATCACTGCTGGAAATTATGGAATTTCCCACCACTTAAAAATGATCTTAAATCAAGTTGAAAGTAAAAAGTGGTCGGATATAGCAATAAAGGTTTTTCCGGATCCCAAAAGTTGTCGGAATAAAGCTTTCAACTTGATTTAAGATCACTTTCAAGTGGTCGGAAATTTCATAATTTCCAGTAGTGCATACACGCGTCCTACGTCGTCATGTCGAGGTGACCGGCCATGCCGCCAGGAGGCGCCCCCGACCTTGGGCGGTTATCGCGCCCACCGGCGCCCCCAATGGCATGCCGACAGCGGCTAGCGCCCCGCCTCCCCTTCCGGCTCCATTTTGCACCACCCTGCCTCCTACCTTGCATGCTAGTCGCCACTCCACGGGGCACCCCCGGTCCGCTGAGGGCGCCATGGCCGGCGAGCTAGGCCGGTTAGTAAATATAAGTTGCAACGCTTTACCAAATGATAGTGACACAGCTTGGTGTCTTGGATGCGCCCGGTAGCATCCTCCTTAAAGTTTTACGCCAAGGGTTCTAACAGCTTCCCTGCAATTATAATAAATGCATTAAATAGCGTTTGGGTAATGAATTGATGCAGTGGTCAGGTGTGCGTGTGCTATGAGGGAGGTTTTGGGTTTGGTTCTCATTGGATATTTCTAATACTTTATTGCATTTTACCCCCTTCCATGCATTGCCTGTCCAACATCTTTGCCTGCCTACCCTCCTTCCATGCCTTGTCCCCATCCCATTTCCATGGGGCCCGTCATCCACGCCTTGTCTGTCTACCCTCCTTCCATAGGATTGTAGATTTTTATGTCATGGAACTGTGTCCACCTTGCAATTACTGAACTTTATGTTCATAATCATAAAATTCTATGTTCATAATTTTTGAACTTCATATTCACAATTATTGAGCTCTACATTCACAATTACAGAATTTTATGTTCATAATTATAAAACTCTGTGTTCATAATTTTTGAACTTCATATTCATAATTATTAAATTCTATATTCATAATTATAGAACTCTATGTTCATAATTTTTGAACTTTATATTCACAATTATGAACAGTTTTAGAATCGTGTTCACCTTACAAAGTGGACACGGTTCCACAACATAATGTGTCCCTTCCATGGGCCCACCATCCATCCTTCGGTCCTTCCATGGGGCTTACCATCCATGCCTTGTCCACCCGCCTACCCTCCTTCATTGCCTTGCTTACCACCCACCATCATGCATTTTCACCCTAACAAGATTTGAGCCAACCTTTTTCCTCCACCATCTCCACCTGGGCCAAGACCTTCCTAGCCTAACAAAACTTATCCAATAAAATGGATTCCAAAGTCCTAGCCCAACAAGACTTATCCAATAATATAGATCTCGGGGTCCTATTTCTTCATCAATTTTGAACCATAGTCAACGATAATTTTCCTCAGAATAGGGGCCCTTTCCATTATTGAATTTTGGGTAGGTGTCCAGTCCTCTCACCCTCAAGGCCACCCGGGAAAGGGCCTGCCATGTCACAGATAATAGCTTGGTAGAGAAAGAAAGTAATTAATATGATAGGGGAAATTGTAATTTATGCCTTCACAAATATGCTAATTATTAATGTCGTCTTTGAATTATTAGAGGTGTAAATATTTTTTCTTAATTTTCAAAACGTGACATATATTGTTCATCACCTGAATTATAAGTGGTGTAAATGTGGTTACCCGTCGTTTTCCCTGTTCGAAGATCACATTTTTTTTTCTTCCATTTTCTTTCTCCGTTTGTTCTCCTTGTGCCGACAACAATGTTTCTCCGTCTTCCTATTAGGAGAAGGGTAATATATGTAATGATTTGAAAATTAAAGGACAACATTTACATCACTGTACTATTCACTAATAATTCAAAGGTGACATTAATAATTGATATATTTGCAAGGAGCATAAATTACAATTTTCTCAATAGGATAATATTTTGGATTAAAGTGTAATGTGTTGTCTTGTTTGCAGAATTTTTATTTTATTTTTATCTTTTCTCTTCTTTCCCCTTTTATAACTCTAGAGTGTGCACAATAGTACATATCCATGTGCATTTGTTTGTGGTAGGGTTTGCTTCTAATGATGTATGTGCATGTGCACTAGTTAGATATGTAAATCAACTAAGATTTTTATCCTTTAATTTTTCTTGCTGCTGCTGGTGGTACATAATGTGCATGTGTGCATTTCAATATGAACATTTGTTCAATGCAATATTAAAGTGTGTAGAGTGCAATGTGTATAAGTGTGCAATATAATGCTGCACACGATGTTCCAAAAAAAAAAAAAAAAAAAAAAAAAACCTTTGCTTCTTGTCAATTTATCCATCCTATAGATAGAGAGAGGGGAATTGATTGTAGAGATAGATTTTCTAAGGGGACACGTACAATTAGAGCATTCACAATAGTTAATTTGTAATTTTTTTAATTAGTTTTAAATTTTGAGGGACTCACAAAAAACTCTTCTTCCTGCGACATCACCGGCAAATTATACTATTGATCATATATTGTCCACATTACAATGCATAGACCATAAATAAATGTTCATTTTTAATGTATTCAAAGTAAATTTTTTTGAAATATACTTAAAAATGAACTTTCAAAAAAATAATATTCAATGTATTATAAATAAACGTTCAGTATATACTAATAATAAACTTTATGTCAATGGTTCATGTTATAATGATTATTGAATATCACCTCCATCCTTTCTCATACTCTCTGTTTCTTCTACATCACCTTAAAAGCATGAACAAATTCTAAATTTAATTTATCATTGTTTGTGATTCTCTTAGCAGAAAGTTGGATTCAGTTGGTGCAATGTAACTATGTGAGGCATACATTAGTGGTCTGGGACTCCGCATTTCTGTAAAGACTTTAATATGGATTTACTTGTGAAGTTAGCTTGGCAGATGGTGGCTACATGCCGCCGTTGCATGCCGGCATACGCCGTCTTGTCGTCGGAGTTTGTCAGAATAATGTTTCACACGCTTCACTGCAATTGTTACGTTTCTAATCGCTATTTTGTTTTTTGTTTTTTGTTTTTTTTTTTTTTTGTTTTTTGTTTCTTTTTTGTTTTTTGTTTTTTTTTTTTTTTGCAAACAAACAGCGAATTCATTCATTAATATCAAAAGAAAGAAGAACCAATCCTTACGGTCTGCATTAGAGATGGAGTCTCTACGGCGCTATTTTGTTAGGGTTTCTTTGATGTAGAATTTGGGTAAATAATCTATTTGAGAGGCCGGGAGTCATTTTTTATTTGTTTAAGGGGTGATGCAAATTTAGGGGGTGTTTGGTTCATGGATTTACACATTATGAATGGGAGTCAAAGTCATAGTTAGCATTTGGTTAACAACTTTAATTTTTAAAATTCAATTATGAGATGCTTTCAAAAAAAAATTCAACTATGAGATTTTTTTTTGTTTGAAAGGACAATTATGAGATTTGATTATCCCTTTAATTAAAAACTTATTTCCTAATTTTAAAAGATATCATTCTATTTTATTGGTAATATGATTTTTAAGTTTGGATTAGTGCTTTTTGATTTTTGTTTTAATTTTTTTGTTGGTGCTTTGGATGTCATTATATTAGGATCAATTGCCTTGATTTTTTTTTTTTGTTTTTTTTTTTTTTTGTTTTTTATATTTTTAAAACCTTTATCCCCATTATATGGTCATATATATAACCAAACATCAATATTGATAATCATTCCAATTTTACCCTACTACAAAACATTCAAAATAATTTCACCAAAACACATACCATTACCAAGTATATGATTCTCATTCCAATTGCAATTCCAATGTGCGAACCAAACACACCCTTAATGTTCAATTTAAGATTCACAACTCAATCGTTATACTATGGGACCAGGATTCTCACTGCACTATAGACCCTAGTTTATGTGTTAAGAGAATTGATTTATGCCATCTAGATAACTCCTAAAACTCTTTCTCAAAAAAAAAAAAAAAGATAACTCCTAAAACCCAGAGCTTTAAGTCATTTATTTGACATAGACATGTCAGAGCAAATGGCTATATGTTTTCATCACGGAAGTTTTCTGCATGTAGTACACTGATAAAAAAAAAAAACTTATTATTAAAGAAAACACGTTGTCATAATTGAGGGTTGCTTTTCTTTCGCTAAACAGTGTACTATATGTCTACTAGTTGAATACGAAACAGTGAAATATGCCGTATATATAATTATATATAAAGGGCATTGGCTTGGTAGCATTTTAGTCGGTGCAATAACCTGAAGCTTGAGGGCAAGCAATTCAAAACATTCCATGAGAATGGCAGGTGGAGTGAGGGTTTGTATTTTATCATTGCTTTGTATTCATGTTTTTGTGGGAAGTGTGGTTTTTGCTAGAAATGTGAAAGATGATGATGAGAAGTTTGGGTTGATTGGTAAGAGCGGTGGGGGTGGATTTGGTGGAAGAGCTGGTGGTGGGAGAGGAGGTGGTGGGGGAGGTATCGGCGGTGGGTTTGGAAAGGGCGGTAGTGATTATGGTGGGGGAAGTGGTGTTGGCGGAGGGTTTGGAAAGGGGGGTAGTGATTATGGTGGGGGAGGGGGTGTCGGCGGAGGGTTTGGAAAGGGGGGTGGTGATTATGGTGGCGGAGGTGGTGTCGGCGGAGGGTTTGGAAAAGGGGGTGGTGATTATGGTGGCGGAGGTGGTGCCGGCGGAGGGTTCGGAAAGGGGGGTGGTGATTATGGTGGGGGAGGTGGTGTCCGCAGAGGGGTTGGAAAGGGCGGTGGAATAGGTAAGGGTGTGGGTAAAGGTGGTGGATTCCGCAAGGGTGGAAGCATTGGTAAAGGTGGAGGAAATGGAGGAAGCATCATTATAGGATGCTGTGATTGACTCAAAGAATTGAGAAGTCAAAATCAATTGAAGAAATAGGTAAAATATAATACTCCGTATAATTTAGTTTTAATGTATATGTTAATTGGGCATAATCATTTACTCGTTTTTATTAGTGTTTTAAATTTTGCTTTGTCTACATGTTGACAATGGCAACTACTGAGCAGCAAAAGATTACTTTTATGGATTTGGCAACAAATGAAACTTGGCAGTTGGCAGTGAGCTGAGGCAGTGAGGCATTGAGCTATTTGGAGACTTGGAATTGTAACATTTATTGCTTATGGAGTATTATCTTCCATTTTGTACTTTTAAGTTTTAAGATTGTGTTAATTTGGACTTTGGAGTGTGGACATTGCAACGTTGGGCATTTGATTTGAAATTTTTATGTGTTTTTAGTTTTAAAATTTTTGAGTTTAGACTAAATTTTTTAAAAGAATTTTAGCTCGTGATGTAATTAAGTTCGGCTAAAAATAACCAGGCATAACAAACCAAAATTTTCGATTTTAGGTCGGTCCAGTTATGAAATGTGTGTTGGTTATTTCGGTCGGTTATACGAAAGTCATAGATTTAATTTTTCGGTTATTAACCAAAAATCGACCGATGCTCACCCCTATTAGTGGTGGATTTGGCAAGGGTGGAGGAATTCGAGGAGGAATCGGTAAAGGTGGAGGCTTTGGTGGTGGATTTGGCAAGGGTGGAGGAATTGAAGGAGGAATCGGTAAAGGTGGAGGTGTTGGTGGTGGATTTGGCAAGGGTGGAGGAATTGGAGGAGGAATCGTAAAGGTAATCGGCGGAGGCATTGGTAAAGGTGGAGGTGTAGGTGGTGGATTTGGAAAAGGTGGAGGAATTGGTGGAGGTATTGGTAAATGAAGACGCATTGGAGGAGGAATCGACAGAGGTATTGGAAAAGGTGGAGGCGTTGGAGGTGGAATTGGAAACGGTGGTGGTGTTGGGGGAGGAGTTGGTAGTGGAGTAGGTGGAGGAATTGGAAAAGGTGGTGATATTGGTGGAGGATCGGAGTAGGAGGAGGAAATGGTGGTGGAGTTGTTAGTGGTGTAGGGGGGAGGATTTGGAAAAGGTGATGACATTGGTGGAGGTGCAAGTGGAGGATTTGGAAAAGGTGGTGGAATTGATGGAGATACAAGTGGATGATTTGGTGGAGGTAGAGGTGGGGATTTGGAAAAGGTGGCGAAATTGGTGGAGGAGACGGTGTAGGTGGAGAATTTGGGATAGGCGGTGGGATCGGAGGTAGGGTAGGAAGAGTAGTGACTGGTGGTGGCTTTGGAGGTGGATTTGGTTGAGGAGCATGAGGTGGAAGTGGAGGTGGACGCGAAGGTGGAGGCGGTGTTGGGATCAGTCATCACTATAGGTTTTCCCATTCTTTTCTTATGCTATTTCTAGTTTTCTACCATGCCCAAGGGCTTATTGGCATAGTGTCCATAGGCTACATGGAACTACATTGTCTATTCTCTTATATTTAAATACTAGAGTACAAGCATTTGTAATATCACTTTTATTGTCAACTAAATAAAAGTAACATGCGATATACGTACTATTATACATCTTTGTGCTCATATTAAAAAAAATATAATCTTATATTGTATAACTAAATATAATTAAAAGAACGTTAGTAACCAAATGCTCAAACATGGGTCATTCTCTCTCTAGGACTTTTCTCTAGAGCTTCTTCCTTCCCAGCTCCTCTTGGGTCTCCGTCATCCTTCCGTCTACCCTCTCTCCGGCGCTGTTGTTAGGGTCGGAAGGGGGAAGTTTCTCATGGATATTAACCAGCTTAGTGATCGTTGCTCCCTTGTATCTCCCTCGTCAACACTGAACCACCTACGCATGAATCAAACCGTGGCTCTAACTCTGCATGGACTATGGTGGGCAGAGTCTTGACGGACAAACCAATCAAATTCGACCACTATAACCCTTCGCCCAAAAAATGAAAAAGAGTTACTTGAAGGCCACATAATACATATATACATAAAGAACGAGGATTTTCGACCGGAAAATGGTGATTTCAGACCCCTTTATGGTGGTTGGGAATTTGAAAATTTCCATAAGTATATTCCAGCTAAAAATAATTAATATATTTACACTATAATATGTTAATTATAATAAAATTTTTATTTTTATTATATATTTTCATACAAAATAAAATATTTTGTAATAAATTTATTAAACTTTTAATTACAAATTTAATAAAAATTACTAAAGATGAACTTACATATCAATTCTCTATATATTTGGTTTCACATCCCTATACATAAAGTAGCTCGATTTATTAACCTAATTTTTATTTGAGCTAAAATGTCTTGGGTAACGAATTTCCGACCACTATAACTCTTTTATCGAAAAAATGAAGAAAAAAAATCACTTTTTGTGACCAAATTTTTGGGTGGTCGAAAATGTGGTCGGAAAAATGCTAATTTTTAGCCGTGAATTTAGAAATAGAGGTTTATATTGATTGAAAGATATATAAGTTCATATTTATTAATTACATGTGCTAGTTTATTAAAATTAAAAAGTTTAGAATATTAATTTAAAAATACCAAAAATTTTGTTGAACTTGTCCGGTAATCCAGAAACTTGAGCTTTTAGGGTTAGGTCCAAGAATTTTAAACCCGACCAAAAAAAAAAAAAAAAAAAAACCCTACAGCTTGATAGGGCTAGCCCGAAACTGAAGAGGTTCGCCCAATTGAGAATTTCTAGTTCCAAGATAGACTCCATTGGGAGTGTCCTATTATTATTATTATTATTATTATTATTTTTTTTGAGTTGATGGTTTACCTTAGGGTGGGCGTTTCGACATTCGGTTCGGTTTCAGTTTGTTTAGTTTAAAAAAAATGAAACCATTCAATTTAACATTTTAGTTCGGTTCAGTTTGAAAAAGTTCAGTTTCAGTTCAGAATTTGTTCGATTCGGTATTCGGTTCGATTTAGAAACCTCAATTACCAATATTTCCTAGTGTTCAAACGCAATTAATTTAATTAATTAATTATTTATTTATTTATTTATTTATACTAATAATTTAGGATTAAAAATCCATTCTACATCCATTGAGTTCAATCAAGCTCATTTAATGAGATTATAACATCTTTAAAAAATTTTGGGGAACACAGATAGACCAAGATGGAGTGAATGAACAACCAAAACAACCAATAAAATAAAAAATAACTCAAATAGAATGAAAATGAAATCACCCAAATAAATAGCACGTGACCTCAACCATGAACAACAGTACGTGTTTCACTCCCATATGTAATATTTCCACTTTGAGTGTCATAAAATGGTCATACAGGTTGACTTCATACATCAATTCCCAGATATAACAATAATGTCACATTTTACATACATCAAAAATTGAGTTTCAATTTTATTGAATGCATTAATTACGTTGAATGCCTAAATTTAACTCAGGGAAGAGACTCATATACATATGCAAGCATATAAACTTAGGCAAGTGGCAACATGTGAGACTTAGGGTGTGTTTGGTTGGTGGGTTTTGCCCATAGGAATGGGTATGAAAGTGATTGTTGTTGTTTGGTTGATAGGTTTTTAGAACACTACTATGGGTTTCGAATACCCCATCAATTGAAAAACCCATACCCAAATTAAATACAATAAGGGTTTCATTCCCTTATTCATTTTCAAGCACTACTATTAGTAACCATTCCCATTCCACCCTACTACCAAACATGTTAAATACTTTCACCAAAACCCATTACCATTACCAAGTATTTGATACCCATTCTGATTCCGATTCCTATGTGCGAACCAAACAATTCTATTGCAGATTTGCACGCGAGGCAACAATGTCGAAGCGGACGAGCGGTGTTCATCTACGATTAGGAGTTTAGTTATTAGGGATTAGGGATTTGGATTTAATTCTTTTTTATTATTAATTTATTATTATTATTATTATTATTATTATTATTGTTGTTGTTGTTGTTGTTGTTGTTGTTGTTGTTATTATTTTATTATTATTATTATTATTATTATTATTATTATTATTATTATTATTATTATATTTTCATTTTTTTTAAAAAGAAAAAAAAAATCAAACAGTATTTGGTTTGGTTCGATTTTTTACCGAACCGTTCGGTATACAAGAATCCCTTACCGTTTGGTATACAATAATCCCTTACCGTTTTGTTGTTCAGCATATTATCAAACCAAAGAAAAAATTACATTTTTGGTCCTGTGACTATTCAGGTCTTGTTAATTTCAGTACTCGAATTTAAAAACTAACAATTTAGTCCCTTAACTATGCAAATTTTAATACATTTGGTCCACTAGGGCAAATGTCGCCGGAAAACGTAAACCTTTTTAAATTATTTATTCATGAGGCAAAATGGTCATTTTACGTTTTTTTAAAAAAGGAGAAAGTTATTTGCTTCCTTCTCCCTTCTTCTTCGCGTACTAATTGCCTCTTGGACGATTGGTTTGCGACTTTGTTTCCGACTCTGACTGTGCTTCTCCGCTGGAATATCTCGTTGCATTAAGGCGGAGGAGAAGCGGCGACGGTTTCGCTGGGAAGCCAAGTCCCGCCGGACTACCTCCCATATTATTAATCTCGTTTTACTTTTTATTTGTTCATTGTTTTTCCTCCTTCTCATTGTTAAACATTTTAGATGGAGTAAGTTTTTATTTGATCAATTGAAAGTAAACGAGTCTAGAATTAAAGACAAATTGTGTGGACCATATTTTGTATCACTACTGGAAATTATGAAATTTCCGACCATCTGAAAGTGATCTTAAATCAAGTCGAAAGCCTTGTTCTGACCACTTTTGGTATCCGAAAAAACCTTTATTGCTATTTCCGACAACTTTTTGCTTTCGACTTGATTTAAGATCATTTTCAAGTTGTCGGAAATTCCATAATTTCCAGTAGTGTATACTGTAAGATAATGTATATTTATTAAAAAAATAATATATATTCAGTATAAAAATGATGTACATTGTATTCAGAGAATATACATTATTTGTGTACTGAGTATACATTATATTATATAATGTACATTCAGTACAAAAATAATATATATTTAATATATTTTAAAAATGTACTTTTTTTATGGTACATACAACACTGTGTGAACCATGGTCCACACAATAATTTGCCATGTAAGAGGCAATGTTGAGGCAAATTATTGTGTGGACCATGGTCCACACAATGTTATGTGGACCATGGTCCACACAATGTTATGTGGACCATAATAAAAAGTACATTTTGAATATACTAAATATACATTATTTTTGTACTAAATGTACATTACACAATATAATGTATACTCAGAACAAAAATAATGTACATCCCCTGAATACAATGTACATTATTTTTGTACTGAATATACATTATTTTACAGTAAACAAAATAAGGTTCACACAACTTGTGTGGACCATGGTCCATACAATAATAATTGCAATGTTGAGACTGAGGCTCATAGTTGGGCTGGATTTGATTTTGGGCTATGACCATTTCGTTGACATTTTAATGTTGAAGAAAAGAAAAAAAAAATGTTTTTTTTTTTATTTTAATTTACTTTTTAATGTTTACCCCAATGCCCCAAAGGTCCCAAACTATACTAACAATCATTATTGTGTGGACCATGGTCCACACAAGTTGTGGGGACCATATTTTGTCTATTGTATAATAATGTACATTCAGTAAAAAAATAATGTACATTGTATTTAGGGGATGTACATTATTTTTATTCTGAATGTACATTATATTGTATAATGTACATTCAG